AGCCCAGCCAGTGTCTCAAGCTCCTTAAGGTTTTGACCTTGGATTCGTGGTACCTTCCAAATAATTCATCGCTCCAGATTGATACGGCATAATAATGGTATAAACAAGTTTAATACAAATAGGATTACTAAGAAGGTTGAAGTAATCATCTTAAAGATTTTAGAGCAGTGGTTGGTCCATAGTTAGCATGGAATAGCAGTTTGTGTTATCATTTAAAATATCAATATAATTATTATTTCAGTTAAGGGCAGACTCTTTTAGGATCATCCAATTCCATTTCTCTCAAAACCAGATTACTCAATGCAATCTTCTCCATAGCTGAGTGGATTTATTAACTACATCGAGCATGCAGACCAGGGTTAATATCCACTGTGCAGCCAGGGGAGGAGTCCTGTTCCAGCAGTGGGGGTCGTGGTCATCAGTCTTTTGAGAGTCGGTTGCTGTGACTTCCCTTCTGACCACAGAGCTGATCCCATGTGGATGAAATGACCTGGCTGGTCAGACCCAGGAGGTCCTCTTCTTTGAGCCTCTGGGAGAGACAGCCCATCCCTGCCTTGGGATAGGTAACTCAGTGTGGCTTCCATCCTCACCTCTGCCACAGATCCAGGCCCCTACATGGCTACAGTCCAATCTGCCATCTTACACTTTGTCCTCTTGTCAAAAGAAGTCACTTCCCTTCTTTCACATTTTTGACACGCAGAATTCTATTTGTTTCATTTGTGCCCACAAACTGTCAATTTTGCTTTCAGGGAAAGTTGAAATGAGAAATAAAAAATCTGAAGTCATGATAATTATAGAGCAAAATGGTGAAGTCCCTTTGACTTTCTTTACTTCCCGTTGTTTGTATTGACCACACAGTGAAGTACAAAGTAATGTCTGATGGCCCGGCTGGACAGGCTCAGTGTTTGAGCATCAACCTATGAACCAGCAAGTCATGGTTTGATTCCCGGTCAGGGCACATGCCTGGGTTGTGGGCTTGATGCCCAGTAGGGGGCGTGCAGGAGGCAGCCCATCAATGATTCTCTTTCATTATTCATGTTTCTGTCTCTCTCTCTAGCTCACCCTTCCTCTCTAAAATCAATACAAATATATTTTTAAAATGTAATTAAAAATTAATATATATATTATTTAAAAAGTAATGGCAGAGGAGCAAGACAGACTGTGCCCAGGAAACCACTGTAATGACTATATTGTTATTTACATTTACAGTGAAGCATCAGGAGTAATTAAGGAACGAAGGCTGTTTCTCCCTGACTTAGTTGCCTGAGCCTCACTGCCCTGCACCCTGAGCAGGAGACAGAGAGGGGGGAACAGAGAAGCCCAAGAGAAACGCACAGACGGAATGAACACCTGACGTTCACCAGCTTCTGTTCTACAAGTTTCTGTTGAGAGACGTCATCATTGAATCTCCCGGGCCCAGCTCAGAAATTTTGAGCACAAAGTGTCCCATAATTGAAGTAGAGGCTTGAACCATAAAAGCTGCACTAGTAAAATATAAATGGAAACTAGACCACCAACTTCCACTATACACAAAAATAAACTCAAAATGGATAAAAGACTTAAATGAAAGAAATGATACCATAAAAATCCTAGAAGAAACCATGGGGAGCAAAATCTCAGACACCTCTCAGAGCAATATGTTTGTGGTTACATCTCCTAGGGCAAAGGACACTAAGGAGAAAATAAATGCGACTACATCAAAACAAAGAGCTCTGCACAGCAAGAGGAACCATCAACGCAATGAAAAGGGAGCCCAGTGTGTGGGAGAGCGTATTTGCCCATGATACATCTGATAAGGGGTTACTATCCAAAGTCTATAAGGAACTCGAACAACTTAATAAAAGGAAGAAAAACAATCAAATAAAAAAAGGGGTAAAGGAACTAAATAGACACTTCTCCAAAGCATACACACAAATGGCCGAGGGATATATGAAAAGATGCTTAAAGTCACTGATCATCAGAGAGATACAAATTGAAAGAACAATGAGGTATCACCTCACACCTGTCAGAATGACTAATATGAACAAATGACAAGTGCTGGTGAAGTTGTGGGGAAAATGGAACCCTAGTACACTGCTGGTGGGATTGCAGACTCATGCGACCATTGTGGAAAATAGTATGGCGTTTCCTCATAAAAATTAAAAATGAAAC